TGAAGTTCGTTTACTGATTGTTTTTCGTCGAATGAAATGAGGGATTCGTGCGTTTGCAATGGATGCCCACTCCTCGATGGATCCCTTGAAGATAAGGGGAAAAGCATGAAATGACAGACCAACTTTCTCACAAACGATGAAAGTGGAAAAATCAAACCGTATGGTTGAGGTTGAAGTTTACCAGAACCGAAAAATTCCAAAAAACGTTGCCAATAAACAATGAAGGAGACAAATTCAGATTAGCTATACTTTAACTACACAACAGCTTTTTTATCAGGTTACTATTAGCTTGAATATATTCAAGCTAATAGTTACCTGATAAATATGCTGTTCTGTAGTTAAAGCATAGCTTATCTGAATTTGCCGGTTTTTAAAACTTTTTAATATTTCTGTAAGATTAGGGAAAACTTAGCAAACTGTCGAAGAAGACACACGTTTTAGCAGCCACCGAGTGCTGTAATGCAAATTTAGCAAAATGCAAAAAAATTGCAGAAAAAAAATCAAAAAAAATGCAAAACTTCTTGATGCGATAAAAGCAAATTGTTGAAAAAAAAGTTGAGTTTAGGGGTTCACCAGAACCGAAAATTTATTCAAAAAAGTTGTCAAAAAACAATGAAGGAGGCAAGGTTAGATTAAATATACTTTAACTACATAACAGTTTATTTACCAGGTTTATTTTAGCTTGATTATTTTTATCTAAAAATTGACGGTTCAAGTTGTTTAGATCCGAAATATCAATTTTTTTAAACATTTTGGTATATTTAAGGAGCAGAAAAAAGCAAACTGTCGAAAAGGAAACAAATTTTAGCAGCAACCCAGCGCTGTGACGGAAATTATGGCGTGTATTGCGACAGTTCTCGCTGAATTCTTGTGTTTTTTTTGTAGTTTTTTTTGTGAGAATTCGGATGTGCATTCATTCCGTATTAACTTGCAAAAGACTATTAGCAAATCATAACTATGTATCTCGTTAATAAAAACAAGTTTTATTGTTGTCTTATGTCTCTGATTGATTCAAAATTCTTTTTTTTGTGACAATTGATTTTCATAGGATTTTTCAGTAGTATTTCTAAATGTTCTAATTTTTTCTATCAGTCAATGATAAATGAGGACTTCATAATGAAAAATTAGCTGAACGAAAGTTTTATTAGGCTTAAAGAAATTGTTTTTTTTTGTCGACCTTCTTTTCAGTCTACAAAAAAGGGTACTGGTTTGGTTCACTTTTTCAATAAAAATATGTGGTTCTCGATTGTTAATTTTTCAACTATAACTACTTCAACATATTTCAAACTTTTGAGATTTTTCTTTTTTCACCGCCTTTTTGTTATATTTATAGAGTGTTTAGCAGCTGAATCTTAAGCAAAAACCAAATTCCAGTTTTTTGTGCGTTAAGTGTTAGTTTATTTCTTGCTAACCAAAAGTTAGTTTCTTTTAAGACTTCTTGCGGATCGGAATACTTTCTTTTGGACTTTTTAAACTAGAAGAAGCTCTGTTTATGACTGTTTAAATATCATTTGAAAACATGTTGCCAGCTTGTTGAGGACTTTCGCTTTGTTTCTATTTTATACATATATAAGATGAATGGTAGTAGGCCCAATAATGATCCTTTCGAGACAACAAACCTAATCCCTAATTATGCTAAAAAAAAATTGTTTTTTTGTCGACCTTTTTTTTAGTCTACAAAAAAGGGTGCCGGATTGCTTTTTCAATAAAAATATGTGCTTCTCGATTGTTAATTTTTCAACTATAACTACTTCAACATATTTCAAACTTTTGAGATTTTTCTTTTTTCGCCGCCTTTTTTTTGTTGTATTTATAGAGCGTTTAGCAGCTGACTCTTAACCAAAAAGCAAAGTTCCGATTTTTTGCGTGTTAAGTGTTAGTTTATTTCTTGCTAACGAAAAGTTAGTTTCTTTTAAGACTTCTTGGGGATCGGAATACTTGCTTTTGGACTATTCAAACTAGAAGAAGAAGCTCTGTTCATGGATGTATAAATAGCATTTAAAACAATGTTGCCAGCTTGTTGAGGAGTTTTCCTTTGTTTCTATTTTATACATATATAAGATGAATGGTAGTAGGCCCAATAATGAGCCTTTTGAGACAACAAACATAATCCCTTCAACTTTCGATCGTTAAAATTTTTGAATTGTTTTTTCTTTTTGAATTTTTTTTGAGCTATATTTATACTGTTTCTCGTTTGCAACATACAATCTCAGTAAAAAATAGGCCAAATAAGTCCATATGATATTTTAATTTTGCAGCTAAAAACCATGCTCAGCTGTTCAAAGATGATTTTTCAGGTCTATGAACGTACACTGTGTTAAGATGGAATGATCATTCCAGTGAAACCTACTTTCCTCAACCAAAATTACAATAGTATCGAAATTGCCACGTTTTGATCTAAACCCAAATTCATTTTGAATGATCACGTTGATTTTGATCACAAAAATTGTTCAACTTTTTGATGATAAGCTTCTAAAAAAATTGCCAAAAATCTTATACAAGAAATTGGTCGAAATTCAGCTGGATTGTTTTGTTATCTTTGTTGCGTATTGGAATAATTTTCGCAGTTTTTGGTGTTTTTTGGTTTTTTTGGAAAAGTTTCATCATTTCAGAGGTACATGCTGAAATTTTTGAAAGCAAAATAGTTAATGCCGTATGGGTCCAAGCTGTATTCGGTTTCACATTTTCAAAAAGTTTTTAACTTCCATCGTGAATGATGGTTTTAAACAAAACGATTTGATTGAGTGCCTAATTTCCTTCACTTGCCGGAAATTTTCTGCAGCGAGGCTTTTTTCATCATTTATTAACCAAAAAATATCAAAATTTGAATTTTTTTTGATGATTTTCATCAACCTCTGGTTTTGCAGGGTAATAAACTTTATGAAATGGTCTTTTTGTGCTTATTTGCATCAGTTTTCAGTTTTTTTTTATAGAACGCCTTCTTTTTGTTAGCTACTGTTTTTAAACAAAAATTGATTGTATTTGATATTTTTTGCTCAGTTTTGATTTAACGAGCCGAGCCTTTTGAACGGGTTTCAAAATCGTTGTTTTTCGTGGCCTCGTGTTTTATTTCATCCCTAATTTAGAGTTTTTGCCTCTTAATTTTAGAGAGATTTCAGATCTAAGACTGTCCCTGACATCATCAATTTTTTTAGATCGTACTTTATACCATGGTCTAGTGATTTTCTATTTCTGTATCGATGCTCAGATCTGGAATTACTTACTGATGTTTTAAGTAAGTCGGGTTGGCCGGTTCGATTGCAAAAGAAGATATCGAAACATGATTGGTTATTACAAGTTTTCTTGTCGCTTGCTTGCTCTTGGCAAAATG